AAAAAACTTTGGAGGATGCTCAGAAAGCCTGGAGACCTATTGCTCAAGAGTACTTTAAAAATTCCAAGAAAATCTGGCTCCTCTGAAGTAAAATACAAAGAAATGAGGGGTGACTCAAGATTTTTACACAGTACTGTGTGTCCACTTTATTGACAAGCAGTGCTTCAGATATATTTCTCTTTATTAACATGTCAATTTTGTAAAAAATGTAACAGCTAAAACAAATGTGTTTATTTTAGTGGTTCACTGTTTCCACTGTAAAAACAGCAATCAAACATGCGGAGCCTCCCAGTGTGACGACCCCTTGTAGTGTTTTATTTTTTTATTTTACACATTTTAATCCTTGTTGTCCACTTTCCTTCTGCACGTTAATGATTTGTCCTCACTGATTGTTAACGAGTTGACTCACTGTGATGTACCATCGTTTAATTGATCTATTTTTGGACACGGGAACATTTTCACCCATGGGTATGCCTCACTGCAGTGTTTGCCGTTGTCATCCTAACAATCTCTCTGTGAGTTCTCAGATACTGCAATGAACTGGAGATCACACAACAGAGGCATTTATGGAGGCTTATATACACTAAGACACACGCACTGTCTTTTTGGTATTTATAAAGGTCTGCTGCTGTGTATACTGCAATGAAAATCTAGTAACCTTTTAAAGTGGCGTTACAAGAGGAGAAGTGCTTCATGGGGGGGCGGGAAACTAACGAGCGCTGCAAACAATGCAGAATTCATTTCGTGGTTTTATCTTCTTCAACAACAGAACTGGCCGTGACTCTGCAGTTTGCACCATGTAACACACAAAAGCCTTAAGCACAAGATTACTATCACACACTGTCACATGTCTTTGCATGTCTTTGGTGTCATGCCCGTCAAACATTTACATAAAAACCTCCAGTGGAAAAGTTTAAAAATGTGACTCTGACCTTCGGAGCTGTTGTGTTTACTCTCCGGACCCTTGTTTTGTGTTCCAGCTGGGGAATTCCTCTGGCCATCACTATTGCAGCTGTGAGTCTCAACAAGATTGGTTACGATGCGTCAGAGGTGTCGGTGGGCTGGTGCTGGGTCAGGATCAACGTTCAAGACCGGGTCCTGTGGATGCTGCTGACTGGAAAGATCTGGGAGTTCTTGGCGTACCTCACCCTCCCCTTCCTCTACATCCTGATCAAGAGGCACATCCACATAGCGGTGAGGAGGACACCAGGGACCTCATTCATCAGTCATGTGTACACAGAGCTTTGTGACTATTTGAATATCTCACTTTGCGTTCAAAAATCTGTTTACACATTAAGAACCCCAACAAACCTGCAGATACACACTTCTTTTTCCTGCCAAGCATTAAAATCATCCTTCTTAATTCTCCGGTACTCAGTACGAGCGATCCACACTGGATCTGTTATTTACATTCATCTGTAATCAGCCAGAACCTTTGACCTTTATTGGAAATCTGCTGGTGATCAGCTGTTTTCAGGTCGACAGAGTGAATCATGAACGAGTTTCTTTATTCATTAAAAAGCTGATCTTACACTTCCCCTCTTGCCTTCTGCATTATGATTAATATCATAGTCAGAGAGTGAAAGAGACACTGTTGTCTTTAGGGGGGAAAAAACCCAAAATGTATTGGCCTGTCATTATTTGCATTTAGTCTTGGAAAGCTAAAATCATCACCTGGGCATAAAGTGGAAATACAGTTTGTTTAAAACATTCTGGCTCATAAATCATTTCAACCAAACAACATACTGATCACAGCCTGAAATCTTCTATAGGAATGTATGCACAGAATATCAATACATCCCAGTTCCTGTATCTGTGACTCAGACTTTCAGCATTTGAGCATTAAAGGAACTGATTTGTTTCCCCTAGAGGATGACAGGAAACTTTATCCCTAACACGCTAACTATTATGAAACACACTACAGAGGTAGTCAGACTGTGGATGAAATCATTCTTTGTTATACTGCACTTTTATCCTAACAGAAACTTTCAGTCATGGGAAAAAGAAAGTTCAGTTTTACATATCAGGACATGTTAAGACAATCATCTGGTCCTGAGCAGGTTAAAATGAAGTAAGCAAAACCCCAGATGAACAACAACGCATAACATACAGCTCCATGTCGTTATTTAACAAAAACTGGCCAAAAATGAAGAAACGGCGTGAGAATCTAATCGCACGATTACCGCGTCCATAAAGAATTAGGAGGGTAAGTAGCAGCCAGGAATTCCTCATCAAATGTACTGGAATAATGCTTCTTCATCAAGTGTGTGCACCTCTGTGAAAGCAGAAGTTTTGTCAGTGTGCAGGTGTGGATCACCTCATGACAGCTGCCAGTATTCCTAAGAGTGAATGTCCCAGAATATTCATCCCAAAGTCAGACCGTGCATGCTCAGAGAAACTGCAACAAAAAAAAAACCCAAGCGACTCTACAGGCCTCAGTTAACATGTTAAACGTTAAAGTTCATGACAGCACAATTAAATAAAGACTGATCAAATATGGCTTGTCAGGAAGGGTTAACAGGAGGAAGCTACGTTTTCTCTAAAAAAGAACATGGCACCACGGCTTAGAAATGCAAAGTTGCACCAAACATGCACAATTGCAACCAAACACAACATATCAGCACTAACGAGTTATACCAACCACAGTGGAGCATGGGTAATGATTTGGGCTTGTTTTTCAGCCACAGGATATTGGCAGCTTGACGTCACCGAGTGAACCATGAACTCCTCTGTATAAAAGTATTCTAGGGTCAAATCTGAGGCCATCTGTCCGGATGCTAAAGCTTGATCCAAACAGGTTCATGCACAGAGACAAATCTCCAACAGAACAGCTGCAAAGGTCCAGTCAAAGTCTAGATTTCAACCTTACTTAAGAGAGCTGTGCATGAACAAATGCCCACAAACCTCAATGAGCGGAAGCACCATTGTGTAGAAGATTGGGCCAAAACCCTCTACAATGATATTAGAGACTGATAAAGTCACACAGAAAATGATTACTTCAACTTACTTCTATTGAAGGCGGTTCTATAAGCTACTGAATCGCAGGATGTACTTAGTTTCTGCAGTTTGGCTTGTTGTTTTTTTTAAAAACCAAAAATGATATAGTGTAATGAAAGGGTTTCTGTATCTCCCTCAAATATCTGCCTGGTAGTGTGAAAGTTATCTGATGTTCTTGATGACACATTTTCTCTCTTTCTTTATTTCCTTTTAACGGTCTCACTCTTGATGCTCTGACGCAGCATGCAGCCCTCTCTGAGTACCGTCCCATCTTGGCCAACAGGCCTCCCGCCCACTCCTTCTCCTCCATGGCTGATGTGAAGCTCACGCTCATCCCCATCATCTTCATCGTCCTACGCATTTGGAGCACGGTGCGCTTTATCCTGCTGCTAGCCGACTCAAGTGTCAGACAGAACCCAGCGCTGGTCACGCTGCACGTGAGTTTACGCTTCTTTCTCTTTTTGCCTTTTTAAAAAGTAACAAAGCATTTTCAAAATACTGTAAATTTTCCTTTTAAATGGCTTGAAAATGAAATGAAGCCTTTATGATGTTTGGACTGTTTTATTACATGACAGTGCCACTGTAAGTGTGCATAAAACATTTTTACGCACTATGAACACGATGATATAAATGAAAATGTGTTGTTTTATTGACCGATAAAACAAGCATTTGCCATCAAAACTCATAAAGACTTTTTATTTCTCTGGAATAAGCCATCATGATGCCCTCATCTGAAACCCCTCTTTCGTCTGATCCCACAGGGGATTGGCAACACCTTGCAGGGAGCAGCCAACTGCGTCATGTTCGTCTTGTTCACTCAGCCGATCCGCACGCGCCTCTGCGCCGCGCTCACATCCTGCTCCCAATGTCGAGCAGAGGCGCAGCGCTCGCACAGGCTGCTACCCGAGCAGGACGCAACTGCCCGGAGAGAAGAAGACGGCACTGAACGAGGCCACGCCGACAGATGAGACTTTGTTTGGTGCAATGAGAAGATGAAGGCAAAGCAAAGAGGCTGACATGAAGGGAGGAGGAGTTCTCTACTTCACCTCGAGCCCTCATTACACAAAGTGCTCGTGCGATGGCTTCTTGAGGTTCTGCAGGAGCATGCACTTCTGTGTCATGTGTCTGCACTGTGGGTGATGGGGTGTTGCTGCCTGATTTTATGTTATTTACACATAAGGTGAAGCATTATTTGCATTTATTGTTCTGTAGGTCACATGGGTAAAGTGTTTTGTTTGGTTTTTCTTTGGGTTGGTGTGTGTTGATGATTTCACTTCCCCTTCCAAAGAAAGTGAAGGAGGTCTGAAGGAGCTCTGCTTACCATGTACTGTACTCAGGTTAACACTGTGAAGGATTTTTGTTGTTGTTTGTTTTTCTAGTATCCGAGTATTGTGAATTTGGGGAGAAACTTTTGTTGGCCCGGTTATGTTACAAACAACAGAGAAACAGGTAAAGCTTTGTCGCTTTAGGTCACAATTATACTGTAATTTTTTGTGTTTTTCTTTTTTGTATCATTAACAAATGTGGCCAGAAGCTCTAAATACACTACTCCTGAAGCAAAGACAGGAGCAATGCATTTACTCACATCTAAAGAGCTGTGCATTATTCTAACTGTTAGCTTGACTTCTCTTTCACTGGAGATACTATATTGTTACATTTTTGGGTAGATGATCATCATTTTCTATTTAAAGGAATAAATACATGATCAACTTTGCTCTAACTGTTGTCCTCCTTTTACTTTTAAAACTCTTACTTATTTCCCAAGGCATTAGTTTCAACATCTTTCAGACACCGGTTTCATAAGATTGGCAGCTTCTGTTGTGTCACCATAATTAGCATGATTACTATCACCGTGGTCAAATTTGTGTTGTTTTTTTTCTTGTTTTTTTGCATGATCTATAATCACATGTCATCCTTCCTCTTTCAAACTCAGGCTTCACTCATGAGCCTCACTTCTCCTTTGAGCTGGTGGCTCTTGTTCGCCTGACTAAAAATGCAGGCTGAGTGCATTACTAATGATGAGTGGGTGAACCCGGTGCCCTGATTCTACTTCCCAAAGTTTCGAAATATTGTTTTAAAATTCACAGCGTACTTGCTCCAGCATTTTTATTTTCTTTGTGCTTTAATATGCACATGCAAAGGAGCGTGGGGATAGTTCCCACATATTATTTCTAGTTGCACTTTTTATACGCTTTAAACTGTACAAATAAACAGTTTTCTTTGAGCTACAAAGTTTTCCATCCATCCATTTTCTTATCAAAACAGGCTTGCGCTGTGGCTTGAGCCTATCCCAGCTGACGGTGGGTGCACACAGAGTACACCTCGGAAGGGTCACCAGTACATCACAGGCCTAACGATATTTTCCTCCAATCAAATTTTTATCTGAGGTCTAAAGAAACTTGACACAGTGCAGAGTTCATTCTCTAAGACCATCAATAACCAGATACCATGTCTGGGAAAATGCAGGTAGTGAATGTTGTTTGTGCCAATGACATCTAAAATAAACAGCCAATAAATAGTTTTTGTCTTTTATCCTTGTGGATGGAAGAGGGCGTACAGAGGAGCAGCACTTACCGTATTTCCTGCGGGAAGTAATGTGTTGTGTCAGTTCAGGGATTTGGCTGGCATTGAAGTGACTTGAGTCAGGAGGGGGCCGCTTAAGAAAGACTTTTCTGCTTTCTGCCTGCTTAAATTCATTAAGAGAGCCTGTGCTACAATACCAGGGGTGACCATTCACCAGTAAACTTAACTTGGAGGGGGGGTAACACAGGCAGTGCCATTGGTCCCGGGAGCCCATTCTCAAGCACGTTGTCCACCACAGGCAATAAATTAGCAGTGGCAGTGTTTAGTGTGTGAGCAAAAAGGCGGCTACTGAGTTCCCAGTGAACGTGCACTTTGTTCTGGCATTACTCGTCGCATTAGCGCCACCAACTGTTTACTGCTGGGACTACTAGCAATGCAAATTTTCTGCGTGGAGCTCCCATTTCATAATATAAGGGGAACAAAAATCTACCAAGAAGATTACATTCAAAAGTCTCTCATGTGAGAGACTTTTGAATGTAACACTTCCATGTTTAATATGAAACAGTCTCTTCAGCACAGTCTGCAACCTGTTTCGTCTCAGCAACTTTTAGACTGGGTTTTATCATGTTTGTCTTTGGGATTAGAGAGGAACAGCACTGCAGTGTTAAAGGCCCGAAGCAAACAAGGTAGACCTGCTACACATGGAAGTGTTGCTTGCTTCAAATACCGCTGGGGTGTGGAGGTTGGATAATGTAGGCCACCTGCAAGAAAATGAGCAGAGGGGGATGGAGAAAAACAAAAAAAGACAAATAAAATACCGCAGGAGGGGAGCAGCAGCTGTTGTTTCCTGGGTCAGCAAGCCTACGAGGGGCTGTTGACTCCTGGTTTGCATCTGTGGTGGTGGTGGTGGGGGGCGGAGAGGAGGTCTGGAGTGTCACCACCGTGCACACCCCCTCATACCTCTAAAAAATTTTGGTCCAATCAGTGCAGTGCAACCATGGATGGAAATTACATGGCGACACGATGGTCCTAACCTGCTCCTTCTCCTGTGAAAACCAGAAAACTCTGTCTCCTCATTATTTGTATGTATAACTATGCAGTAATACAGCTGAACGGTGAACTGATATTAATATGCACGAAAACCAAGGCTGCTATTGATTGATTTATTTGTTTAAAGAAGCCAAACAAGTCATTTTAATATCTGACAAGTTTCCCCACCCCACACCTTATACCCCAACCACCCCCAACCCATTTGCCTCACAATGGTTTGGTCCGTTGCCTACACGCTCACATCCACGCAGTCATTTGGAAGTTTGTCGTGTGGGGGTATTTCTACAAGTGTGTGACTGGTGGCTGAAGTCCAGTAAGTACTTTGCAATTATTTACTTACAAACGATGTTTGGTCAGACATTTATTGTATTTTATTTTATTTTATTTCACTTTACTCCTCAGAAGAATCAAACACAATTACTGTTTTGTTGCATATTTTTAATTTGCTTTTATATTTAGCTTGATTTTAATAAGCGGCTGCCATTTTGCTACCGGGGCAGCCGCATGTTTAGGAAAGAAGGAGCTGTATCTACAAAACCAAAAGCAGCTTTTTGAACACAAACACGAGGAGGATGCAGAATGCTCTGATGATACTTTGACCCATGGTCCATGACAGCAATGCTATTCATTTATTTCTCTGTTTTTGTGATTGTGTTGCTTTTGTTGATCTCTTTGCACAGGGAAAACAAAGAAGCCATCAGAGGAAGAAAATAACCGTTTTAAAGTCCATCAGCTCTGTCACAATGTTTTTGGACTGATATCACTCAGCAGGTAGGTTTCAGCCACACTGACGTGAAAAAGTGTTATTTATTAATAGGACATCCCAGGATTGGTTACTTATATTGGTAAATGTTTTAATTGTATAACATGTAAGGTTGAATGTATTTGTAACTGCTTGTAAAGTTGTTTTGGAAATGAATGAAGTCTGAACTGTATAACAGTTGTGTAATTATCTATGAGTTTGTGCGGTTCTGCTTTATAGCACGCTAGGTAAGATTTGAGCTGAGCTTTTGTTACCTAGTGGCTACACAAGCCAGGAAGTACCAATGACTGGATTTGGTGTGTGGTAATAACAGGTAAATTAACTTTTTTTTTTTAAATTATTTGAATATATATGAGTGCTTGTGTATAAATACACAAACAATACACACATGCTTTCAATTGTGTAATTTAAGTGATCTAAGTAGCTCTGTTTTGGAAGTTCAGTTAATGCTAGAAATTTGTTTTGGAGTTTGTATGTGCTTTGTCTCCACATACATTTATATATAAACATATATAAACATACATATATAAAACCAATTTTTTAGCATAATTTTATATTATTGTTAATAATAAATTCATTAAAGCAACAAAACAACCTGAAGAGCCGGTTCTCTAAAAAGAGCCGAAAATCCCATCACTAGTCTGAAGACCAGCAAGGATACCCAACGGATTTACTTTGCCAAATGGATCGTCACGGCCTTGCCGTATTGGTCCATTTGATCGACCTTTGTTGTTATTATTTATTTTATTTTATTTTCAGTTGTTACAGACGGGACAGACATGACTGAGGGATAGGAAAGGGAGAAAGAAAGATGAAGGAAAAGAAAAACAGAAGGGAAGAGGGACAGTGTGAAAGGGCACTTAAAAAGAGAAACAGGGAAAAAAAATCTCCTGGATCACCTGTTGAGAGAAAAAGAAGAAAAAACAAGCAAAAAAAACAGAGCAACATACTAAACACAACACCATCACGTTAATCTAGCTAAGTGTAAACAGCAGTAAATACTAAATATTGAATGTTGTTGTGTAGCAAGCAGGACCGACAGCGCACAATGTGCTTGGAAATAGCAGCCAATAGAGGTGTAGTTTATGTCTATGAACAGTGAACACCCGTGTGCACACCTGTGTGGATCAGCGCGCTTGTATTCAAAAGGTTTCCCCATGTAATGGTCTGCTAGAGGATGTAGAGAGCCATAGCCCCGTCCCCCAGGGCATGAAGCAGGCATGGAGGAGATCCAGGCCCCAGACATCCAGAGGCCCCAGAGTGCGAGAGCCCAAGGAGGACCACCGGAGGGGCATCCGTGCCACCCTCCTGGGAAGAGCTGAGGAGAGCCCCAGATGAGGGGTCACCCTAGTAGCCACGGAGCAGAAGCCAGAGGGGGCTGCAGTGGCGTGCCCGCCGGCTCTGCCCCCTTTGCCCCGGAAGAGGCCTGACCGAGCAACAGGCACCAGGCCCCGCCAAGTAGTCACCGGGAGTGAGCTGGTACATACCTGAGCGCCCAGCCCCGGACACCAAGAACCACCAACGCACCGACCCCTGAGGGCATCAGTTACCGGCAGGGAGTGTGGTGAGGGGAGATAGGCCTTGGAGGGCCTGGGAGTTCCCAGAGAGGTGGAGTGTAAGACCCGACCTGACATATAGACACAGACAAACAGGCACACACAGACACAAACATGCATTCCCACCCTCATGCACACATATACAAATACTCAGCACTCACCCAACGTAGGGATAGACATACATGGACACTGTACACACAATCACACTCCCCAAACAAACTCTATACCCCAGGTCCAGGTACCCTCGCCCCTGGAGGGGGAAACGGCACCTAGACCCAGGAGATGTTACCCTTTCCCCCGGGGTGGAGGCAAGCAGACCGCCCCAGGCTCCGCAGCAGCAGGGAGGCCCCGCATCCCAGATCCCAATCGGACGGCCAACACCTCCTCCCAGCCCCCCCGCCCCGATGGCCAGCAGAGAACAGGGGTGTGTGAAGACCCCAAACCTCCCTCCTCTCGCTCATGTGTAGTGTTGCTGCGTGTTGTTCTAAGGTGCATTTAAAACACGGGAGAGCATGGTGCTGCTGCCAGAGAGCAGCAGGTGTTAGCACGGCCCCTCCCGAGAACCCTCAATGTCTACATGGATTTAAAATTGAGAGGTGGGCACCGGCGCCAGAGGTGGGGTTGAATACACAGACCGTCCACTGGACGCCGTTAACGTGCCCACCACTCAAGTAGTCCTTCATGTATTGGTGATCATTGTGAATAAGGGGGCAGCTGGAAGTAGCTTTAGCTTCATATGACTTCTTATGTAATGTGGCCTCTGTGTTAAAGCACAAGGTATTGCACAAAACCTGGAATGGAGCTCAGTGATTTCCAGGCCACTTCTAAGAAAACTGTTTTTTGGTCTCCCTTCATCACTCTGCTCTTAGAAAACCTCCTGGAATTGTCAGCAAACCAAAGCAAGAGATTTTTTTGTTGTTGTTGCAACCCTCACAGTAACACCTTCACATATCTCCACAACACTGTCATTATCATGATAGCATTTTATTACGGCAGTGTTGTGTGCATGTTTCTGTGCTGATATGTGCACGTTAACCCCTTGAACTGACTGTAAATCTTTTTTTAAACATGGGAGTAAGGTTTTAAACTGGAAGTGAACCTGCACTTTATCCACTTTACCACCTTGGTGGGATGCTACCAGCAGCAACAATAGCTCCACTAGCTTCTTTCACCGTGATATGAGCAAAAGAAGTGACATGTAACCAAGTGTAACCTAATAAAGGTTACACTTGGTTCTATATGTAAACCCCCATAATGTTAAAATTTATGCTATCAAAGCACCATAACCCTGCTCCAACCTTACTTCAAGGCCTTAACCTTTCACTTCCAGACCACAGCTTTTTGCTGTAGTTTTACACTGATAATGTGAACAATGTAGAAAATGTCAGCATCTTGATACGAATTGAGGGAGGTTGGTAACAGTCTCCATAATTTTTGCTCGTCTGAGTAGCTGGAATTCTTTTTATCACATCTTATGTCAGATTTGTTAAAGTTTCAAGCTCTTTGACTGCCATCCAAGCCAAACCTCTTTGTATCCAAAGGAGTAAAAGGCATCATTTGCATGTTTTAAAATCTAAAATGAACCTGTTGATGAAACCTGTTACTTTATGTAAATAATTCTATTTAAAATAAAAAGAGTTTTCTCTAAAACAGCAAATTTAAAATAGCGCAACTGTGTAGTAAACATTTACTGGTCTTTTTATTACCTTCATGTGTAAAAACAAACTCTGGTTTCATTCATTTTATTTCAGTAAAACTCAGTCTATTCTTCCAAGACTGCCTCAGTAATAGTTTACTCTGAGCAGAAGTAGTTCTGAAATGTAATTGTTTGCTTTTTTTCTTTGGTTTGTTTGTTTGTTTGTGCTTTGAAGCAAGTAACATCCAGCTCCAGGAGCAAATAGCCTCAGGGGCGTTGTATCGACAAGCAGGCTCGGCTTTAGAGATAAGAGATGATGGTGTGCATGACAGATTTCTGACAAAGCAAACATTTGGAAAAAGAAATGTTTACAGCTGTGGTGTTTGTGCAAGGGCGAACAAACAAACAGTTTTTTAGTGTCATCGATGAGAGGTGCAAGCAGATAAACCTTTCAAACTGTTTGACAGTAAATGCTGAAGTTGTTGCTGTTGTATTATTTTAATAAATCCATCTGATGCAGTGCAGCCTGCGCGTGGATCAGCAATAAAGATGCGTTATCCTTATCATTTTTTTCTTTAATGACACCTGCATCCACTGATCCTGTTTAGTCAAGGATACAGTGCAATATAAGAGTTAGATATCAACATTCAAGTAAGCTTTTAATCTTTCAGGTGTATTACATTAAAAAAAATTAACCAGAGAGCACAGTCAGCAACATGAGTGCGATAACCATAAACCAATGCCACGCTCTCTAATCTGGTGTCCAAAGGGCAGGCAGGATCCAGTGGGCAGTAATAATAAAGTGTGCTGTTATTACTGCTGGAAGTGACAGCGAGCCCAAACACGGCCATGGCGGACACCGAGGAACGGGGAAAGCCTGTGGAGAGGAAAGGGGTGAGTTAAAGTCCACGTGTGATCACAACCATGGTCACAATTTTCTTTTCTGACTTTTCAAATAGCGCTCTGATGTTGTCCCCCTCTCCCCAACAAAAAACAGAGGCTAACTGTAGTCCTGGTGCTGGCAACACTCATAGCTGCCTTTGGTTCGTCCTTCCAGTACGGCTATAATGTCTCTGTGGTCAACTCTCCATCGCAGGTAAGCTGATTAAAGAAAGAAAAGCTTGAATGGAACTCGCTGGGAAGATAATTCGTTCCTATCAGTGCTCTCCTGCTCTTTTCAGTTCATGCAGCAGTTTTATAATACAACCTACATGGAGCGTTACCACAGCCCGATGGAGGAGAACGTCCTGACTCTGCTGTGGTCTCTCTCCGTGTCCATGTTCCCTCTCGGAGGCTTCTTCGGCTCTCTGATGGTGGCCCCTCTGG